CTACACTTGCGATTCTTCCTTCGTTGTTCTGCAAGTGAAGTCACCTCCCAATTGGGACAGTAGGTTACAGTTTTTATTGAGCGAGCTGCCGTCAGTGGGCTCCTCCTACTCAACCTGTCATTACCCCCAAATTTGGGCTCGGATCTTACTCAACAGATTCTTTTGCCTTTGTTGAGCATTTTAAATGACTCTTGGGGAGACTTCCATATCACTGCAAATGCCCTTTTCTTACCAATCTTTCCAAAAGGCCCTAGGGTTTGATGTCTCGGAACTCAGGATATTTGCTCTCTTTGTAAAAGACTTCTAAAGATAACATTTAAATTAAGACTTTAAACGAAGTCAGGACATTTTGCACGTAGTGCCCAAAACAATGACTTAGATAAGGAGATAAATCCTATCTTCTTCCTGAAACTGGCTAATGGGCAACCTTTACAAACATTCAAACTATTTCATTCAATATGACAGTTTTAATCTCCGAATGGAGCAGGAATCAAAGGGAGGGGGTGCAAGTGCACCAGTGCATGCCCCCTGCATCTGCCCCTGGGCAGAGATGCACCTTGTGGACTAAGTAAATGGGAGACGCCTATGCCTTGGTGAGCCCGAGCTCACTTCACCCTCTGCCTTCCATGGAGCCAGGCGGGTTACACCTCAACCACGTGTTTGGGCTGTAAACGAGCCTGTCCCACTAGTCCAGGATCCTCCCAGCTGCTTGGTTGTTCACTGCCATGTTTGCCCAGCTCCTGCAGTTCAGTTTTGGTGCGCTGTAGATCAGCGAGTCTCAACCAGGGTGCCCTGGGAGCCTTGCAAGGGTGCCGCAGGGTGCGCTAGCTTTGTTAGGTGTGCCGACACGATTCACACGACAAGCCCGGGGACTGTGAACAGGAGTCCGTCGTGTTAAATCCATTCTGCTGGGGGCTGGGTTATTTGCACCAGAAACATCGCTCTGCTCTATTTGTGCAGTCAAACCGGGAGCGAAAGCCAAGAGGTGGCACTTCCCAAGGGGTCCAGAAACGTCAGTGTGGGATGTGGCAGGCTCGTCTCCTCTCTCAGGTTTGCTACAAGCATCTGCCCCTTCAAGGAGACCATCCCACGTGGGCCGCCCTCGAACACCTGAACAGAGTATCTGGGTTGGCAGCTGAACAGCCAGAGCCATCGGAGGTGTGTTAGCGTGCAAGCCAAGAAGTGCTCGGCAGCCTTTGCCCTCGCTTGTGCCGTGCGGGGTCTCTGGCCCTGACACCCCCTCATCGCAACAACCTACTTCACCTGACTCGTGCCCATTTACAATGCTACCTGGTGGCCTTCGGGCTCTTCCCGCTGGCGATGACATCTCCTTAAGATGGCTGAAACAATATGCCGAAACTGCATACGCTAAAGAAATAAACTTCACCCGCTGCTGGGAACGGACTGGCAGAAAGCAAAGATTTTATACAAAAGGAAGAGGGGCAGGGGACACACTGCTAAGAGAAGTAGATGCATTAGCTCCACAATATCCTGCCTAACATAACAGTGGAAGGTCTCATGACCCATTTAACTCGCAATCCAGCTCCCAAAACCCTGCTCAAGTAACCGGTCTTGACATCCTTTGGCAGAGAGTTCCCTGGGTTATCTAGGGACGGGGTGAAACAGCATTTACCTTACCACGAGCCCTGATTGCATTTACTTTACCAGCGTTTCAGCTGCAAGGGACAGGCCTGCCTTCACCACAGACATACGTGGGCAATCCTCTGCAGGCAAAGAGGAGCCTCCTGGGCCTGTGCTTGTGCACACGACGCATTGCAGCCCAACATGCCACAGATCCAACGTCTGTGTAACACCCACACGCACGCAGGGTTGTGTGCTCAGGTGTGTTCTGGGCGTGTGGCGCTGCGTCTCTTGTTTGTGCCGTATATTTTGCCTCCTCTGGGACTGAAAGAGAATCACGCTCCTGCCCCACATCGTGCCCAGGCCGGTGTTTGACGCTTCCCTCCAAGGGGCCTGTGAAACCAGTTGAGTGACTCTGGCCACTTCACCCAGAGCCTGGACCACCTTGACATGACTGGTCTGCAGGAGCTGTGTTCAAATGATGCTGCTTCTGGTTGGGACCAGGTGATGAGGTTAGAAAAGTTAGTTAAGGGTCAAGCTGCCGGGGTCGGGGCTGCTGAGAGCTGAATTGGCCCAGGCGGGGGTCTTCCCCCCTCTTCACTAGGAAAGCAAACTGAAGCGATGAGAAGGGAAACCTTCAGATGCAGGAAGTCCATCTCAGGGCTTGAGACCTCTGTTCTCTCCCTCTTCTTCCCCCTTTTGTTGTCTGGGTTTGGAGTGGGATGGATGATGCCAGGGGTGGGCATCAATCCCTGCAGCAGACCGGCCAAGGCTGGAGCCCGGCAGTCTTGCTGGGGCACTCTGGGCAGGGCTGAGAGCCGGCCGTGTTTTAGTTGCTGTTGCATCTTCTTGTGGGGTCCGCACAGCTGCGTCGCTGAGCCCCGCCGAGCGGCGCATGCGTGTTTAAGCGTGGCTCGGGGCTTGGCTTGTTTTGGGCCTGGCATGTTTGGTGCTGCTGTGGCTCCGTGTCCTGACCCAGCAGCGCGGTTGGCGCTAGGTGCAGTCCGTGCTCTTTTGCTGTTTGGCAGGGAGCAATGCGGCGCAGAAGCGCTGAGCCCCTGCATGCCAGTTACCCCAGGCAGCTGGGCAGGGGCACGGGGCTGGTGAGCAGCAGCGGGCAGGATGTTGGCAAAGCCAGCTCTAGGGGCCTTGGAGCCGTGGACATGCCCCAGGGGTGGGAGGGGAGAGAAGCTGAGGGGGTGGAGGAGGGCACCCCCATCCCTGGCTGTCCTGTATA